AAAGAATATATACATTAAGTATAAGATATTGGGCGCACGACGGCCAATATCATGTTAATACTATTTTATCCACTATTGCACTATCACCAACATTCTTTCTATTATAATAATATATCAAGTAATATGAATACTAACTGTGTCATTATTATTTAAAGAATATCTATGCATTACAGTAACTTCTACTCCAAATGAGCGACCTTGCCACAACGGACTATAATTATAACGGATTTTTAAATCTTTGCTTCACATTCACATTAAAATAAAAATCCATTGTGACAAGATCAGTAAATCTTGCCACAACGGGTTTTAAATAAATCTTCATTCATCCGCTGCGACAGGGTTTGACTTATTTAGTGAAGCTGGAAACACACAATGACATAAAATTGATCCGTTGTTATTTGTGTTTCTTAAAAAAAAAAATATGCATATTCAACAAATATTCAGTGGATATTTGGCGGATATTAGGTGAATGACCGATTATCCGGGTGTTGAGTTTTATTGACTGACCGATTACCCGGATGTTGAGCTTTATTGATTGACCAAGTACTTAAACATCCAGATAATCAACGGATACAACCACCAGTAAAAATGTGTGTCCGGGGGCGAATAGAATTATTGTATCATTGTATGTATATTGCAATGATGCAAGAAGAATAATTATCATTGGAAGTTTACAAATGTTATAATTTGAATTAGAAAGTTTACATATGCGCTGATTTGATTGAACCCCAAAATCTAGTACGTATGATAATAATGTTATGAATACTTTATACTAGCAAAACCCATTGGTTTTGAGGTGGGGCCATTGGTTTAACGTGCTATCGAATAGTAAAATAGTTTTTTAGCGGAGCAAATAAACTTTTTGGGGGCTAATTATCATTCTATTGACCAGTTTACTCATCATGTTTGACGTGTTTAACGTCGAGACACAATAAGATATACAAGGTTTGAAAAAAGGATCTAAAAAACCAAATCGGCTGATATGACTTAATTAAACTATTTTTTCCCCTATATTTTCTTTCAAAATAAAAATACCTCTTCTTTTTTACAAATTAAAACTCTTCTATTATTATTACAAACTGTCTTTACATACATATGAGTGGTAAAGCAAAAGATTATAAAGGAAAAAAAATAGTCAACATTACTAAATCTAGTTATTGAAAGTATTACATACGGTAATGTAAATTCTTTTAGTAGAAAAATATTAATAGCACAAGTTTTAGCTATGTACAAGAAAATGTCACAGTATTAGCCGGCCAAGTAATTTTTAAACGGCATAGCTGTCTAAAAAAAATCCTCTTAACATTCATTTTTACATCTGGAATTTTAGTGCAGAATTCAATGGCATAGACATTTAGTTGAGATGAGTCCATCTGCATTACTTAGAATGACAAAAAAAAATTTTTTACAATAAGATAAAAATCATATAGTAATACAAATTCTTATTTTAATTGGAATTATTATTATTATTATTCGTTCTATTCGAATTATTCGTTCTATCGAATTATTCGTTTTATTCATTTTACTCGTTCTACTAATGTAATTCGAATACTCAAATTTAGAGATGTGCCATTCATAGTAACCGTGATTTTTTTCGCGCATAGTGCGTGCAGTGCGCATGGTAGCATAGTGCGCATAGTGTATATGTATCATAGGGAGGGAAATATCATAAATGCGCATCTAATAATAAGAAAGTAATGACATATTTAATTTTTTTTAGAAATGTTTATTTATAAGTAAAGTCTAAAAAATATATCTAAAACCTTATGCATAGCACACTATGCGTAACACACTATGCGCGGCACATCTCTAATATATAAATAAGAAACGTGAAGTCATCACAGCACCAAAAAAATTTATTGTTCGTATAATATATATGACCTGTTTCTTCGTTACCATTACCTCACTATTACAAAAAGGATTTAATATTAAAAGATAATATAAACCCATAATCACTTTAATTTTAGCAAGCCATCATCCACATAATGCATTTTTTCTACATTCATAAAAATTCTTTTCGTTATTTTTTTTTGATTATTGACATTAAATATCGAAGCACACTACTGGCACTGCAATAACACCAAAACCATCACCAAGACTAAATGCTATAATACCAAAACCGTCACCAAGACCAAGACCAAGACAAGAACTGTATCCGTATGCGTCACCACTACAACTACAACCACTACAACTGTTCCCACCACAATCACTACAACTGTTCCCATCACCACCTCCACAACCACAACCCTATCACAACCACCACTACAACTGTGGCATGTCTTACTCGTGGTCAACCTTGTGACCTTAGTAACCCTGGGGAATGTTGCAGTCTAGCATGCATTAGCGACTTCGGATGTGCATAAAACTAGATAGAAACATAAAAATAGACCTTTCCTTTTTACTAATCAATTAATTGGTTAATTAAATTTGCAATTTATTTTATTGAATTTTATCTTTAATTAATAAACTTATTTCGTTCTAGTTTAGTTTTGCATTTTTTTGTTTAGTATAGAAAAGCTGCAAAATATTTTTTTGAATTCGACTTTTTTATCGTTTACCTAAATATTTGTTTCCCAAATAAAAATATTTTTTAACATAACAATAAAATTTGAATCTTGATTAAGTGAATTATTATCAATTTGTTGCAAAGTTCTCAATGGCTCATTTGATTTGTCTTCTTTCATTGTTGATCTGAGCAATAAATATAATTATCTCAAACAAGAATTATGGTGCACATATCTCGGTACTTTAAAAGTTATCCCATACAAACATGAAGCTCTAGTTAAAGGAAAAAAAAGTTATATATGGTATTTGGAAGTGAAGCATTGCGAGGAACTTAAAGAATAAGAATCTATTAAACTTTTATGGGTAGAAAAAATGCATTATGTGGATGATGGCTTGCTAAAATTAAAGTGATTATGGGTTTATATTATCTTTTAATATTAAATCCTTTTTGTAATAGTGAGGTAATGGTAACGAAGAAACAGGTCATATATATTATACGAACAATAAATTTTTTTGGTGCTGTGATGACTTCACGTTTCTTATTTATATATTAGAGATGTGCCGCGCATAGTGTGTTACGCATAAGGTTTTAGATATATTTTTTATTTAGAGTTAAAAAAACGCAATAATTAATCAACACACAGTTATAGTTTGAAACTGGTTAATGAATATAAGATTGCATGTATTTAATGTAAAAATTTACTATTAATAATTGATGATCAATATTTTTATGTTAATTCGAATAAAATCACATTCTTATATTGTATTGAAGCAGACAAATTTTATTTTTAAAATCGATTTATTGGTTCAACATTTAATCAGAATGAAGATTCTCAATACGCAATACGTCATGCATGATGTAAACAGTAATAATGAAAATAATTTAAATCTTCGTTCGTTAGAAAAATTTGACAAATCAATAATTTTAACTCGGAATATTCACATATATATAAATATATGTTTCCTTATTTTTTATTGCAAATAATAAAATATACAACAAACAAATAAATATAATTGATTAATTATTAAAATTAGGAGTATTATCAGAGATTAAATAAACCCTATCATCATTTCTAAGGATTGTAACGGTTTTAGGATTGACATAAATGTATCTTAGATATCCACCTTCATGTCGAGTAAGTCTGTAAAGTCCTAATGATACAGCTTTATGTTCTTTAATCAGGAAATTAAAAAATAAATGATATTCCTTGCCTATATAATATTGTGAAAGAGAGAAATAATATAATTAATTATAATATATAAATAAATAATAATATTATTAAAATTAATCTTTTTTTACCAATAAATGAAGAAGGAATATCAATTTGATACATGTGACCAGAACTAAGTTTCAAGGTTTGCCATTCAGCATCTTAAGCATTAGTTAATGTTGGAGTGGACATTTTATTATCAGGGTCATGACTGAATATAAGACGTTTTACGATAGCTGGAATATATCTATTATAAAAACTAATTTATATAATCATATAATTTTTTTAATTAATTGGTTTATTTTTTGAATATTTGTGATAATTTATTTATTTACTTGCCATTGACAAAGTAAAGTATCTAAATTGCTAGGCGTAAATACATTTCCACTTATAAAGGATGGTCGTAAAAGTGCTTGTACTGTAATAATAATAATAATTATAATTATAATTATTGAGAAATTATTATTATTAATTAATTAATCCATTCGTTCATTCATTAATTAAAGAAATATTTTATACTACCATAATCATCTTCTTCATTTTTTACAGAATCACTTTCACCAATCATCTTAAATGTTTCACGATAAATACACTCTACAACCACAAAACATTCTTCATTTGCTGCCATTGATTCAATATTCAAAGCAATCATTATCGAGACAGCGTCTGCGGTTCCATTAGAAGCTCTATATGTAT